CGGGGGGGGCAGTCTGGAGCTGTGTGTGTGGTGGGGGGGCAGACAGCCCGTGGGGGGGCAGGCTGGGGGGGGAAACCCAGCCTCCCAGCCCCCTCCCACCCAGTGAGCCCCCGCCCCACTCTACAGGGACCCTCAGGTGAGACCCACAACAGCCCCACCACATACACATCAACTCACACACAATCACGCACCCCCCCAGGCACACACACGCAGATGCACAACACATACAGAGAACACACTGGGCCACAGCACAGCACACACCAACACAACACACAACACACACACAAACTCATACACCCACAGAGCACACGCCACACCCTACACACAGACACAACACACACACAGAGAACACACCATGCCCCCACACACCACACCACACGCATACAAACTCCCACACACCCAGCACACACATACACACACAAACCCATGCACACAGAGAGAATACACCACATAACACACAGAGCACACACACAGAGCCAGAACACACACACCCAGAACATACCGCACCACAACACACCACACACAGAGCACACACACTCACACAAACTCATACACACACAGAGCACACACCACCCCACACACAGACACAAGACACACACACAAACAAGACTCACAGAGAGAACACACTGCACCACACCACACCACACACAGAGCACACACCACACCACACAACATGCATACAAACTCATACACACCCAGCACACACAGACACACACAGAACAAACCACACAACACACATATACCCATAGGGAACATACACACACACCCCACAGAGAACACCCCCCCACACCCGTTCCCCACACATACCACAGAGAACACACACACACACACACACACACACACACCTCTAGAGAACACACACAGACCCCCCCATGTCCCCAGTTACTCTCAATTTGGGGGGGTCCCTGTGGGTGCAGGTGAGGCCGCCCCCCCAGCCCCCCGACGTGCAGCCCCCCCCCCGACCTCTCCAGTGTGCTCTGCCTTCCTCTTCGGTATTGCACAGAGGCGGAATGAGTTTTTTCTCCCTCATATATTCTCCAGCATATCATCTCTTCCTGCTCATCCTTTTGTTCATTTTCTCTTTTGAGTGTTTATCAACTGCAGAGAAACAAATCAGATTTTCTAATCAGG